CTGCTCGCTCAGAAACTAGACGTGTCTCCCGGGCCGTGGAAGGACGTATCTGCTGTGGTGAGCGGCATGTAGATGAACCAGTATCGGAGATACTGTTTAAACAAGCGTTTTGTACCGCGGCGTCTGCAGACAGGACGGACAGTCAGCCAGAGGCGGCCGGCAGCTCGCTCGCGGCCAGGTCGGCGCTGGGTTGGTTACACGTCTTACCTGGACCGCCCCCTGGGCACCAGCTTCCCCGGCAAAATGGAAGCAGGGTCGCTTAGGAGTCCCAGGCCATGACTGGAGTGTCCCCTTTTATCTGCCTTCCTAGCATTGAACTTCAAAGAATCCACCATGGCCCTCAAGGCACAGAAGTGCAAGAACAGAAATTTTGAGTGGCGGCTGAACTAGGAGGAAACGAATCTGGGAGGGGGGAAGATGAATTTGTGCAGAAAAGTTGGCCAGGGAGGGGAGAGCTGATAGAGAAACGCCACAGTGAGGCCCAGCAGGTACGTTGGGCAGGAGTGGCCGTGTGCGCAGGTGCCAGGGCAAGGAACCCACAGGTGCTCCACAGACCAGCTGGCGGGGGCGCCATGCCCCCACCGTCTCCCTCCTGAGCCCGGGGGTGGGAGGGTCTGGTACCAGGCATCAACGCACCTGAGGGTGCTTTCCCCTGGACAGGCATCTTGCGTGGGGAGGGGCTGGGGCGTGAGCTGCTGCTATCATTATTTGATTTTGAAAAGTGGTCCGGGGGCGTCAGCACCAGGTCCTCCCGGACAGCGGCCCCTGTGCTTCCGGCCGCAGTGTTCAAGTTCCGGCTATGTCACGGGCCTTCGGTTCCACTCGTGAGTGTCTGGGGGTGAGACTTTGGTTCCTGGGGCAGCTGAAGTCCAAATTCTGTCCTCTAAACATGCTTTGGCTAGATGCCATGGGTTTTGTTCTGTTATCTCTGAAAAGCAACTCAGTGTCTCCATAAACAGGACAGGACTGTTTCGAGTGGGCTCCGAGGTTACACATCTCTTTACCTAGTTTTTCGTGCATGTGTGTGTGTTCAAAGAAACCCCATTCTTTGTCTATACCCACAGTCTGGAGTTGGCAGACTGCATCTCCATGGTACTCGTATTTCTTGCACACTGGTAGTTCTTGTGCATGGAGAATATGATTGGACTCAGGTCCTTGTTTTGTTAGGAAGGAATAGGTCAGAGGCGGCAGTGTGTATTTCCAGCAGGAGGACCACGCTGTCTCCGCGTGTCCAGCAGCCGTGTGGGTCATTGCTGGACATGCTGTGGACTGGGGGCAGAGCAGCAGCATTTACACTCTACTGCGCCTTGAGCTGGATCATAGACGGAAGCACCGAGAACTGGCTTGTCCGACACGGTCTAACACAGGACTAGAAAGCTCACGCGCATGACATAATGCACAGAGTCTGAGCACTTCTGGGCTGTCCCTGTCCACTCAGCTTCAGAGGACCTACGGCATGTCACTGCCCATTCCAACAGCTGATCTTCCCCCAGGACCCTCATCCTTCAGTGAGAACGGGAGGTGGCTCCATTCCATCCTTGACCCGGAACCAGCTGATGCTACTGCTGTAAATTCGGGTCTGGTGGCACCTGCACCCCACAACTTAGCCGCTGTACGGCCTTGGGCAGCTCTTCCCGCCATGAGCTGCCTCACAGGTAGAGAAATTTGGCAGAGAAGCCACCGCACAGGCTATTATATTTCATTTTATTTTTTCTATCATGACACACAGGCCTTTGTAAGAGCCGGATGAAGTCACCGACTGCAGTGTGTTTATCAAACACTTCACACAGGGCCCAGGTCACCACAGGTCGGTATTGTCATTAGACACTAGAAATGACGTGTGACATGTAACAGACTGAACCTGTTAAATGTGGGGGAGCCCAGCATGAAGACGGTGGGGAGTCTCGGTGGCGGTCTCCCGTGGGTGGGCCACCGGGACCGTTCCGATGACTCAGTGTGCTGATTTTGGATTAAATACCGCAGCTCCCCCGGCAGAGCCGGTCATCCGTGGGCGGGTGCAGCTGACGCTGAGCACCTAAGTAGCAGGGACAAGCAGCTCCCTGAAGGAAGGTGATTCCAGAAAAAAAAAACAAGAACAGGTGTGGGGTTGGAGCTGCAAACATCTCATGAGAGCTGCCTTCCCTGGGGGGCGGGGCCAGCTACAGCAGCAACCGGGCCACTCTGCCAAACCTTTTCCCCTGGAGCCAGCTGAGGTCAGCTACGTCTTCGCTAAGGAGCTCCACTTGGATGATTTTATCCAGCCCTCCCAGAGCCCAGGGAGGCGGAGCTGGATGTGGCAGGGGGAGCCCTGGGCCGTCACGCAGGCCCTGGCCCCAGGCTGTGGGACAGGCAACACCCAGGGTTTCCGGGGGTGGGGGGCGGCAGGAGGTCCGGTCAGTGGCGGTTTAGACACCAGTCAGCTCTGTAGAGGCCTTTTCTGCTACCCTGCAGCGCCTGGGCCCCGTCCGACGTCCTCGAGCTTCCTCTCCGGACAGAGCTCTGGTGTTCGGCCCAGAGGACGCTAGATCCGGTTGAAGGTCAGATGCCACCTAGTGCGGATGGCCACCCGGCTCCCTTCGGCCACTCCCTCCTGCCACCTGCAGCCGGAGACCGGGGACGGATGGGCTGGGTGGGCGCTTCCCCAGTGGGGAGGTCCAGCCCGTGGACAGGAATTCCCAACCTGCTCGAGTCCCCACCCCGCCCTCTTGCGAGGCTCCGCGCAGCGCGGAGCCACCCGCGGACCGACCCTCTCAGGTGAGAGAGAGGAAAACGAAAGGCAGCCAACAGGACGAGCCCACGCAGAGAAATCAAACTAAAAAGCAAGCTGCAGGCGGCTGGGAAAGCACGCACGAGCCACGGACTGGTCTCCCCTGTGTTCGCAACCACGTGGGCCCCGCCCCCACCCCCTGTCTACAGCGTCGCCCCGGGACTCGGCAGGGGGCGCTCTCGGGGGGGGGGGGGCCTCTTTCAGACACTTCTAGCCCAGAAGTGCGTGCTCAGACCGCCCTCCCAGGGACTGCTGAGCGTGCCGCCCCAGTTCGAGGCGCGTGTGCGTTCGCTCTCCCTTTCTCCTGGCCGCATTCACACCCTCTCTTCTCGCTTCCCATCCCCACACCTCCTCCTCCTCCTCCTCCGCCGCCTCCATCTCCGCGCGGCAGATGCTGCCGCCCCAGAACCGCGTCCTTCGCGCCCCACCGCCGTCCGCGCGCGTCTGCGGGCCTGGGACGCGCGCGGACCGCCCCAGTGCGCTGCCGCCGCTGGTCTGGGGCGCGGGCCCCAGCTCCCACCCCCCACCCCTTTTCTGCCCCACGTCAGGGTTTCAAAATGCCCAGTGGGTCACGCGCACGGACTGACAACCAGGCCGTTACTTTTCTGAACTCGCAGTGTTTTCTCGGCGGGAGATCTCTCCCCGGGGCCCCGTGTCCTTCCTCGCTTGTGCGACGGGGCTCCCTTCGGGCGGGTTCCCCAGGGGCCCCCAGGCTGCTGAGTCCCCCGGTCAGTCCCAGGTCTTTCTCACGGGTCACGGGCCCTTAGCAGTCACTGGCTCTGCCCCCCCCCCGCCCCCCCGACACTGCGTCCTGGAGCACACTGCCGGCCCCGGGGCTGCCTCTCCTCTCCCTTCTGTGCTGCTTCTCTCTCCTCCCAGCCTCCCGGGCCGCTCTGCTCTGCCCTTGGCCCCTCCCCTGTTCCCTCCCGGCTCGCTGCCTCGGTGAGCCCATCCACCCTCCTAGCTTCAAATGCCACCAGCGTGCAAACGACTCCGCGGTGGCAGCCCCTCCCGGACTTCTCTCCGAACTCCACACCTCCCTTGTCTGGGCCATCTCGGACTCCACCTGCCTGAACCTGAGCCCTGCCCTCCTGCCAGGCCTGGCCCACAGGTCCACTCCCAGCCTCTCCTCCCTCCCACCGGCCCAGGCACCCTCGGCTGTCCGTTCTCTGCACGGATTGCCGGCACCTCTTGCCGGCTCCAGCTCCGGGACACGTCTAGGGTCTGACCGCCCCTCACCGCCTCCTCTCCTGCCAGCTGCCCCAGTGAGCCCCCAGTCCCCCACCCAAGTCGGCCCTGCAGCCCCCCAGGTGATCCCTATTAACCAGGTGAGGCCCTCCTTTGCTCAGAAACCCCCCAGGGGCTCCCGACTTCACCCAGAGTAACAGCAGCTGTGTTCCTCGGGTCGGCCAGAGGCCCCGCCTCCCCCCACCCCGGGCTGTGTGGTGAGGCGGGCAGGGACCTCGGGTGTTGAGCTCTTTTGCTGAACAGCCAGCCCCCCCCACCCCCACAGCTCGTTCAGGACAGTGCGCCCACCTGTAGGTGACAGGTGAGACGTGCAGGAGCAGGCCCAGAAAGTCCCTTCAAATACACCCGTGAGGGTTTATGTCCACGGAAGTCACCATCGCAACCTGGAAGAAAGTGGCCGTGACTCAGGAACGGAGCGTCTGACTTGGGAGCCAGCCTTTAGGAACGAAGGCCCCGTGTCGGTGTCGCCAGCCCCTGAAGGGAGGCGCCGCCACGCCCTGGGACTCCCTGTGGGCGGAGGCCCGTCCTCCGCACGGACAGTCCGTCTCCTGCACGGGGGCCAGGGGACTGGAGGGCCCACCGATGCTCAAACCAGGGCCAGGCCGCCAGAGACCCGGCGTGGCCCCCAGGACCCGCGCCTCCGCTGGCGAGATGAGAGGACCTGGTCCTCCCACGATGAGAAAACTCTTCCAAAACCTGAAATCTCTGCGATGGAATTACTGGGTGTGGGCTCATCCCAACTCCCGTTTTTAAACCAAAATGCCAGGACCATCGTTTCCTCGGTGAGAACGGCTTGCTCCCCACGTGTGAGAGTGGGGACTGGTGCCTTCGTGCTGGAGACACTTCATCGGGTGTGAGATCTGTGTCGCCCAGCAGCGGGCCAAGCGGAAGGGCTGTGTGAGCCCCAAACGTGCACTTCCTGGCAACTCACCAGGTTCTGACGCCAGTTTAACTGCAGGGACAGAGGAACAGCCGAGTGTCTTTCTGCTTGTCACCCTCCTGGAACTTTATTCACTGGACTTGAGACAACACTTGAGACAACGTTTAGGAGGGGGAGGGGCCGTCTGCTTCGGTAACAACGCGCGAGTCTGAACCGCCGCCACGGGGTCGCCGCTCCGAGTCCCACCACCCCCCCCCCCGGCACCACCCCCTGTGCCCGAGGGGCCTCTGGCAAGCCGCACACACGGCCTGCGCCCTCTGCGAGGGCGGGTGGGAGCCCCGGGGGGCTGCAGTGCACCCCGCTGGCTACTTCAAGTACCGGGCGAGCGCACGAAGCAGAGGCGGTCCACCGCCCCGGGCGGGCTGGGCCCTCCAGCCGGTCCAGCCAATCCCTCCCGCTCTGACCCGACCAGGGCCCACCGCATGTGAACACTGTGGTCACGGGCATCGCCCCACAGACTGTCTGACCGCGGCCCGCCTGCCTCGCGGATGCGGCGACAGCCCCCGTGGAGGTTATGTACAGAGAGGGGCTGCGAGCGGTCAGCCCCGCCGGGGGCGCACAGGGCGTCCTGTTGAGCACGGCTCGCACCCGAGGACGACACACACCAGGAGACATGCAACTCGGCGGAGAGCTGGGTGAGGGTTCGTGTTCCACACCGGCCAGGGGCTCCGTGACAGCCGCGGTGGGGGGAGGGGGGAGGGGGGTAGGCCGCTGTCACTCGGGCTCTGGCTCGGGGGCCGCGAGGGGCTGCTCCCCCCGTCCCTCTCTTGGGACGCGGAGTCGGTTCTCCGTCCGGCACCGAGCCCAGCGGTCTGCTGGCTTCTGGTCCAGACGGGTCTCTCGGTCTCTCTACTCCTTTTTCTCCTGCTGTGAAGACGCAAGTTCAAACGCCGGAAACCGCGCGGTCTCCGGTTCCAGGACGTCGGAGAGGAAGTGGATGGCGCCGGCCATGCCTGCAAGGTCAAAGAGGGTCCTTCAGGACACAGGGCAACCCCTGCCACCTCCTTCCCCGGGCGACAGGATCTGGGGAGGGAGGGGGGACTTCGGCGACGGCTGCACAGAGATCACCGAAACCCGTGCGTGAGCACCAGCAGGCAGGGACGCCACTTTTCTTCCCACTCTTATTTTGAAACATTGCTTTCTGGGCTTTAGTATTTATTCTACTTCGACACGCTGAGAAGGTCTTCCAGAATCACGACCAGAAAAGCTACCTAGTGCTGCTCTCCAGATATTCCAACTTACAAAACCTCCCCTATCAGAGCCCTGACATTCTAGCCCAAACAGAAAGTTGCATTTTGTGTCTTCTCCAGGTGTTAAGAATGTTATTTACAGGTGAACTTTATTTCCTCTGGTAACAATCCCCCCAGCCCCTCCCCTCTGCGGCGAACAGGCCCCGGGGTCCCACACTGAGGCACGGGGGCTTCTGAAGGCAAGGTGAGGGGGGCGAGTCTGCGGGGCCGGCCGCTCCGGCCCCAGGCCCTGCTGTCTCCTCGGTCAGAACAGTTCCTCCCAGCTGGGTTTTGTTTGGTTAGAGGTTTTCCTTTGCTGTAAAACCCACGTGAACCCCACCCATCTTCCCTATACTCCTCCGGGTCCCGACAAAGGCACACACCTGTGCAGACCAGCCCCCTACCAGGCCGTGGGGCACTTCCGGCACCGCCCCAGGGGGCTCCGTGAGCCCCTCCAGTCTACCCTGCCACCGCCCCCGCCACGGCCCAGGCTGCCTGTGTCAGACAGCACAGGACACATGCAGGGCACAGGCAGGTTGTCATGTCTGGCTTCTTCCCTCAACACTTTTGCGACTCGATCCTGGTTTGCACTGGCCAGCAGCTGTTTCCCAGTGAGGGTGGTTCCCAGGCCTCCCTGTTTCTGTCTGAAGCGCGGGTGCCAGCAGCGCAGGGCCATCTGTTAGAACCCACTGGGGAGAGACGGGGACCACGACCCCCTCCGGAGGGGCCCGGAGCGCCCTGTGCTGAAATGACCCTGTCTGGGTGGGGTGGGGGGGCAGAGCCCCTTGATGGAGGAAACGCCCCCAGAAGGGCCACAGATGTCAGAACGGGCACAAAGTCCAGACACTTGACATTATCCCGACAACACACCCGACAAAGTCAGTACGAAAAGCAAAACTATAGGCTACTGTCCTCCATAGATGTAAAAATCCTCAATAAAATGTTAGCAATACAATTCTGCAATTCATAAAAACAACTGTACATCAGGACTAAGTGAGGTTTACTTCAGAGATGCAAGGCTGACTAATGTTTGAAAAATAGGTCCAGACTAAAAATCTACCATATTAATAGGCTAGAGGAGAAAAATCACGTGATCTTGTCAACTGATTTGAAGAGCATTCAACAAAATCCAACATCTGTGTATATGTGATTAAAAAAAGATCCAATCATTTATTCCTCCTGAAGTTTATTTTGGAACTAGTGTAAGATGTGGCTCTGAAGGAGTGAAAAGTTACCGATTCACCCTGACACCATGTCAGCACTGTCCTCGGATTTCTGTGGCTCATGTCACAGTCGCCAGTGCTCCCGCCCTACCTCTCTCACACACCAGAAACGTGGAAGGGCACCATCTCTGTGCAGGACTGCCACTCGTGTCCCCGGACTGTGTCCTGCACACGCTGTGGCCAGAGCAGACTGTTAGTTAACGCTGTGTTTGTTCATTTCCTGTCGTTGCTCTTGTTTTTTGGAACTTTATTACTTTTCCAACTATTACCATTTCTAATTATGAATGCTTTTCAATTGCTAGCGTTAATTTTTCACGCTTCTGTATATAAGTTACACAATTGCACGTGTGTAACCGACAAGCTTCCTGTGAGTGGACTGACAGCTGATACACAGCACCGCAGAGGAGAGGCAGGGGAGGACGCCGTCGTCTGTCCCGTTACTAGGGAGCGGACACTCTGCGTTCTGTCTGCACCGTCACCTCACGAGAGACCCGAGCATCCCTGGGGGACACCCGCAGGCGCACAGGCCCGGCACAGGGAAGGGACTCACTGTGGTTTCCAGCAATAACCCACTCCGGACTGACCACAGCTGTGGGGTGAAGGGGCGGGGGCCGGCACGCGAGGACGGGGCCCAGGGGCAGGCCCCCAGGGCGTGGACTTCGCCCCCTCCCCCTTACCTTCGAAGAGCGAGTAGGGTCTGTCGGGGATGCGGCACCCGTGGGCTCCGTACTCGAGACACCACTCTGCAAACTAAGGAGAAGACAGCTGTTCCCTCTGACGACTGGAGGCTCCGCTTCGTGAGAAGGCGCCGACGAGCCGCCGCGGTGAACTCGCCGAGAACCGCAGCGAGGGGTTCCGGGCAGCGGGGAGGTCAGGAGCCTGCGCTCTGGGCGGGACCGCAGGGCCCCCGCTCAGCTGGTGGGTCGTCACCAAGCTCATCCCTGAGCTGAGACCGGTGGGTGAGGGGTCGCCGGGCAGATTTTGGGGGAAGGGAGGCCCTGGTGGGAGGACCCGCTAACACGAGGCTTGGAGGGAGCAACAGGCCTGCTCTGCTGCCCGCGGTGGGAGGCGGGCGGCTGGCTGCAGAGCCGGGTGCTGGGCTACAGAGAGCAGAAGCGGAGGAGAGGAGGGTGGAGGAGCCCGCGAGGGCCTGACTCCCAGGGCAGTGGAGAGGGGCCGGCTGAGGGCTCTGCCCGTCCCGGGGGGGCCCAGACGCTGCTGGGGCCGGGGCCGCCTCACCTTGCACGCCCGGTAGAGGTACTTCTTGTCCTGGGTGAGGCGGTACAGGGAGAGGAAGGAGTAGCCGTTCCCGGCGGTGCCGTGGCAGATCCCGTAGCCCTTCCGCAGCAGGCCGCGCTGCCAGATCACGTCGCTGCACTCCATGGCGTCCTTCAGGTACTTCTCCTCCTTAAAAACCTGGGCGACCAGCAGCAAAGCGGTTTCCCGTCTGGTCAGAAAACCTGAACGGGCCCAGGGAGAAAGACGCACCACCAGCGGCCCCCGCCGCAGCCCCCGCGGTCTCCGTCCGCCTGTCTCCTGCCCGGCCCTCCTGCCCGGCCCTCCTCCCGGCTCACAACTCCGCGGAGGCAATGCTGATTGCCGGTTGTAACCAGTGAAAACGCCCACCCACGTGGAACGGAGGCGCTGGCGGCGAGCAGGGGACCCTGGGCACCGCTGCCGCGACGGGGCACCGACCTTGTGGGCCTGCATCAGCATGTGCACGACGCCCGGGGCCCCGTGGCACCAGTGCACCAGCCGGTCGGTCTCGTTGCTCAGCGACGACGGGTAGTTCCCGGAGCGGAACCGCTTGTGGCGCACGTAGTCGACGCTGGGCTTCACCATTTCCGCCAGGGTTTCCTGCTCCACTCTTGCTGCTGGCTTTACGCAGACAAAAACAAAACAGGACATGTGTTTCTTCTATTTTGTTTTTTAAAACCTCTGCTTTGCGGCTGATCCCAACACAGAAGCAGAGCTCGAGCACCGGGATCCAGAGGCGGTGCCGTGCTTCGTTTCAGCCGGCACGGCGCGGTCTGCGTCCGCCTTTCAGCCCCCGCCCCCCCCCGCCGACGGCCGGTGTTACGGCGCGGCCACCGTGCAGCACCGCGCGCGCGGGGCCTCGCTGACCTGCATGAGCATGTAGTAAATCCCCGCCACGCCGTGCGCTGCGCCGACATACTGCTTCCGGTGCCACTGGTACAGCAGGGGACAGCGCTCCGTCTTCCTCTCCTCCCGGGACAGGGCCTTGCCCGACTCCACTATAGCGGTGACCACCTGCAGGGACGGTGCGACGGCAGCCGTCGAAACACAGGCGTCCTGTCTTAGTCTAATGCGCACGGACCGCGTGGCGCATAATAAATACAGGACGTCAGACACCAGCCTCAGGGTAGAGAAAGACATTAAGTCGGGCCATGAAACCAAAAGGCCTTTGAATCCAGAAACGCTTCCTCTAGGAATATTCTGGACTGCCGAGTGGCGTCGCAGCTGCCAGCTGGTCCCCCAGCGCCCGGCAGGCTCCCGCGGGAGCCGGGAGGGCAGGGCTGCGCGTGCGCGGCACCGCGAGGGCTCTGCCGCGCGTGCACGTGCAGCGCTTCGCCAGGTCATGGACAGAACCGCACTGTTACGCGTCTGCGGTGCAGACCCGCACTGGCTCCCTACACCCCGACTCCCCTCCTCCTTTTGGAAACTGAGCTCCGAGTGTTAGCTGGGCAGCGGCCCCTGAGCCCCGGGCGGCTGGACGCAGCCACCCCAGTTCTGTAAGGGGGGCGTGAGCAGAAGGGGGGTGGCCACTGGCGGCTCCCGGCCTTGGGAAGGAAGTGGCTCATCCTCTGTTTCCGCTCCTGTCCCTGGACGCGGGTGCTCACCTGCTTTGGTCCCGCAGACCAGGGCACGCCCCCGGGACACAGGAGCCCAAGGCAGAGGGTCCCTCCCCACGCTCCCAGGACCGCCGCCAGCTCAGACAGCCCACGAAAGAGGAACGAACACGCCGTCTTTCCGGAGCTGTGCTGGTCTGGTTCTCGTAAAGGTAGCTGGATCGACACAGGCCAGGGATTAGCGATTTTTAAAAAGTCCCTGGAGCCGACAACGTGGGGCTACTGATTAACGTGAGGAGATGCTTTGAGGAGCTCCTGCTGCCTCCCAGCCGAGGGCAGCCTCTGCCGTGCCCGGGCCCACAGGCAGATCTGGGGGGTGGGGACGCCCCCGGGGCAGCATGACCCCGCCGTACCTCTTTAATCGCCGACTCGCTCACGGCGCCCAGCCCGATCTCCGTGTTCAGGTAGAGTAAGGCGTACAGGTACCCGGCCCGGCCGTAGAGCAGCTCATCAGGAAGGTCCGAGTCCCGGCCCACGACGGTTCTCTGGAGCTGCAAGAGTCTGCCCGAGGAGAGAAACCTCTGTTTTCCCAGACAATGTCCAGCACACCGCCTCCTGCAACCGTGACTAACCCCGTTCCTGCAGGAGCTATCTATCTGTCGTGGACTTTTAATTTAAAACTGATTTTAAAAAATATATTTTAAAAACCCAAAACGGGAAACAAAAACTTCTCTACTTAACTTCTCTCTCAGATGCCACAACGAATAACAAAACATCTTTGTGTTCCAAATGTCGACCTTACAGCTATTCTAAACCACATAAGAGAAGACACTCAGTTTTGAAATCCGGCATTAGAAGAAAGTGACGTAAGGTCGAGATGAAGTGGCAGTGAGTGTGGCCAGTGCTCGGGAACTAGGCTGAGCCGTCCCGTCTTCCAACAAACGCGAACGGGCCCGCGTGAGCCACAGGCCAGCCAGCGCCCCGTGGGGGTGAGCCCCGGCACCTGCTTCCGCGGAAAGAGCAGAAACCAGCGGGTGCAGCTGATGGTTGACCCTCCAACCTGTTCATGACCTCTGAACCTGAGAATGAGCTAGTTTTCAGGCACGGACGGCAGCCAAGCATTACTTGAGGAAAACGATGAAAATAACACAAGGAAACACGCGTATCCCCCCCTCCCCGCCCCCAGATGAAGGCAAACGCAGCTTGGGTAGGGAGGGAGCGCAGGACCCCACCACCCTGCGCAGGAGGAACGCACCCAACCCTTCCCTGCGTGGAGAGACCTGCTTGTGAGCGGAGACGAGTTTGAAAGGCTTCCCTCCCGAACCCCCCTCTCCAGCTAGGCCTCCGACCGCGCTCTCGGACTCACTTGGTGATGCATTCCCGGGACTCGGCGTCGCTTTTGAGTCTGTGGTAGACCACGGCCCCCACGGCGAGCGGCCCGGCGTCCCCACAGAGGAAGGTGACCCTGCGGCCATTCAGGTTCCGAAGCGTCCTCTTCACGTAGTCCAGGGACCGGAGCAGGTAGGTCTGGTCACTCGTGACCCGGTGCAGCTGCAGGTACAAGAGGGCTATGCCTGGAAAACACCCCCGGCCCCAAGAACGCCATTATTGCCTGGTCTTTTAGCCTTTAGGACATAATTTTTACGATGATATGAAAAACCTACACAGAAACCTACATTTCTGAAGGGGACCCTCAAAGAAATTACACAGGAAATTTTTTTTGTTTTTTAGTTCTGCACGTGAACTTATGAACTCCTGTTACAGTGTCACGGTGTTCCGGCTCCGTGGCAGAGCAGCGAGAAGGTACAGATGAGTGGAGGGCAGGCTGCTTTTCAAACTCAGGCTCTTCATGTGACGTCTTCACTGGTTGCTTGTTCAACTGTCATCGGAATAAAAATCTTTACGTGCACAGATGGGCCAAATGAGCATGGGCAGTAGGTGAAACAGTTATTACACATAATGGACCAGAGAAATCACACAGCTATACCTTGTCACGAAGATCAAAGCAAGGCGGGCAAACAAACAAAAAGAAACTGGCCCTCGGGCGAGTTTGCTCTTTCGACATATTTTCACAAACAGTCGTACGTTTCGTCAAATACTGTCCCCAAAATATGACGAACTACATAGTAAAGGTCGAACTTCCAGGCAGAATTTCTTTGGAAATAAAATTCCAAAGCATCCCATCTACGAAGAAAGCTCGAAGGGTATAAAACTTTACCATTTTATGAGAGAAGTTTCAAACCCCAGCCTTATGTTTCGTGTAACCCGAGGACCAATGGGACGGATCGCACGCACGCGCACGCGCACCCCCACCTGTCCAGCCGGTGTAGGCGGAGCAATCGTGCGGGTCGGCCGTCTTCAGCCCTTCTTCCATCTGCTGCAGGAGGTCTTTGATTTTGGTCTGGATCCGCCGAGTGAGGTTCTGGACGATCTGAGAACCAGAGCAGACAGACAGCGCTGTAGCCGCAGGAGAACGGGACAGCGCCGCGGAAAGCACCTGGACAGTCTAGGCGGTGCCACCCACGGACAGAGATCGCACCGCGCGGCCCGTCTCGACGCGTCCGTGTCTGCAGCGCTACCGAGGCCTTACGAGGAAGCCGGAAAACGAGATACTGCCCCGCACAGACAACCAGTCTTCGGCAGGATCTCGAAAAATGAGTTTCAGAAATGAAAGCAAACGGACATTAAAAACAGGGCGGATCTGACTACAGAAAACACTTTAACTTCTGAACATTCAAGAAGACAAGAAAGGTGGTGTGCAAGTTAATGACAAAACCTCACCGACGTGGACAGCAGCATGGTGGCCGCCCAGGGCAGACGGGCAGAGGGAGGAGAAGGGGGTCACATGCATGGTGACCGAAGGGGGCTGGACTGTGGGTGGTGGGCACACACGACCATACACGCGTGACGTGTGACACAGGCATACACGTGAAATCTATGTAATTTATTAACCAATGTCATCCCAGTACATTTAAGAAATTAATGACAAAAGGGAAATACTTGTAAGATAAAACATTATAAACTAAAAAGACCATAACAATATAGAAATATACCTAAAATTATCAAGGTACCCCGTAAAAAAAAATAAAATGACAAGCATATGCAAAAATCGTCAACCATTTAGCAAGTGACACACTGCAAGTAAGTACAAGTATCATAGTCTATTAGAGAATAAGTAATAAAGTACTTAAAACTATTACGTACCAACCCTGCTAAGAGCTAAGGAAGCAGGTATTCTTACCTGCTGCTGGTAGGCAGTCTTTCCCAAGGGAAGTGTGGCCAGTTCTTAAGCATGAATTTGTTCAGATTTTTCTGTCTTGTGCTTTTGGAAAAATCTAGTTGCATTACCAACCGCTGAGGTGTGTTAAATCCCTCATCATGAATATAGACTTGTCTACTGTGTATTTCTTCCTTTAATTCTGTACTTCTTTGCTTTCGTGTGTTTTATAGTTGTGTTTCTAGGTGTAGACTAATGGACACTGTTGTATGTCCCTCACGGACTGACTCAGTATCAGCATGAAAGGCCCCGCTGCAGGATGATAGAGAAAATGCTTATGTAATTGAAAAATTAAAAAAAAAAAAAAGGAATTCATTGCACCCTGTAAATACAAAGTCCAAGGAAGAAGACAAAAAGGCTTTTATGTTACTGCACGTTCAGGGCTTCCCGGGCAGATTTCCCTGAAACTTGGGGTCGTGGACGAAGGCCCACCTCGGAAGCGAAGTCAGCGGTGCACAAGGTGTGTGGAACCCCGGAGGGGTCTGCCTGGCGCTGGACGTGTTGGTTTACCTTTCACAGGAGGCGAGGCCCTAGAACAGGAGGCCAAAGGGTTTATCTTCTTCTCAGGAAGAAGAAGATACCTTCTCCTGTAAGAAGATAAGTCTCTCATTTACATTCCAGAGACTTAGAGTAAGGTACACCCACTGACACCTTTTCAGAGGGGAGAGGAGGCGGGCCCTCTTCCCCAGGTCCGAAAAAACCTTCTTGACCAATTCCGTTTTCTTACAGGGAAGTAAGGTTGCACCCAGAGGGTGGCTGGGACTTGCACATACCTTTCTGGGAGGCAGTTCCACCCATAACACCCTCGTTTTCACGAAACTTCATGTTTATTAAACAAATGCACACCCTGATATTATCTATCTTAACTACATTTTAACAACATTTTTAAAATTGAAAGTGTGGTAACTGGCTAATCACACTGAATCTATAGAGAAGGCAGTGGGATGCACTTCATGTTATCTTGTGATTTTACACAACTAAGAAGCGTTCTTCCCGCCTTTTAAAATCACAATTCCCCTCTCTTTCTCAAGTTCAAGATCAGCACAATTTCCACCTCCCCTTTCCTTGAGCAGTAGCCAGGGCCACCCGTGTGGGCCCCCACCTGGAGCGTTTTAATTGTTGAACCACACAGGATAACACAAGCCCCATCGGTCATTTGTGTTTTAGTTTCCTGTTATGTGAATCAGTTTGGTACAGGGTTGAGGTCAAAATCTCATTGACCAGATCCAAAGGGTAAAAAGAAAACCCACAATTTCAGGATCGGTCTTTCTCTTGGGCTGTGAGGTACAAACTGGGACTCCGCTGCCCCTGCCTTTATGGTTCCAGTGGAGACTCCCTCGGGGCCAGGGGCTCCTCTCCCTCATCTCTCCCCAAACCTCGCACCAACTCCCTAACTGTAAGGGAGTCTACCCGAACCTTGCACCAACCCCCTAACTGTAAGGGAGTCTCCCCGAACCTTGCACCAACCCCCTTACTGCAAGGGTGTCTCACGGAACCTCTCACCAACCCCCTTACTGCAAGAGTGTCTTACGGAACCTCTCACCAACCTCCTAACTGTAAGGGCGTCTCCCCGAACCTCGCACCAACCCCCTTACTGTAAGGGTATCTCCCCAAACTTCACACCAACCCCCTAACTGTAAGGGTAACATCGAGATAGCAACTCATAGTTAAGTGTGAGCGATGGATTTTTTTAATGCTCACCAACATTAAGTATAACTTTTTTTTACAAAAAAATTTGAACTCTAAGTCAAAAATATAACAGATATGTGAAAAGAGAAGACATGGAGAAAGACATCAACATTGACATTTTCAAGGGGAAGGAGGGGGGCACTTCCTGGGGGTCTACAGGGTGCCACAAGCAAAGGCCGCTGGCCAGGCCGCTCCTAGCTGTTCATCTACTGCGATCACTAACAGCCACGGGAGTGATAAGCACAGAGATAACCACGTCTAAGAACGCGCAGGCCCGGAGAGCTCACTTGCCTAATTCAGACCAAGGGCTCTTTCACAACTGCCTTCTCAGTTTCGGCAAACCTGTATCTCTTGGAAGACAAAGCACAGGCAGAGCCAGGGCGGGGAAGTGGTAAACGTGCAGCTTTACCAAACACGAGAACGGTTGTGCTGGCGTTCATTTCGTCCTTTATTTCCACCATCAACACCTATAAAGGACACCTTGTTCTAAACGGAGCCAGGAGGCCATGAGGATCCCACTCGCACATTCATTCACGACAGCCGGTATTACCGGCAAGGAGAGGGAAGGCAGAGATGATTTAAACAAAGGACAGCATTCTTCATATTGGAATTTCATCTCCTGCTTGTGGAAAAAAAGAGAAGGAAGATCCCTCCGGCCCTGGCAACAGCACTAACCACAACCTTGACCTCGTTCTCCAATGAACTGTTCAAAACCACCGAGGCCATTTTCCTCCTGAAGCCTAAAAAAAAGCTGACTTTCCTTTGCATCTTCAGACTTGCTGGTGCCTGCTACATTCTGCACGTCCCGAACTGCAACGGCCCTGCTTTCCCCAAATTAAACTCAACTTTTTGAGCTTGCCTCTGTTTACCTGTTTGTTGGGTCTGCACCACTCTCTCCCTACCAAGTTAGCTGTTTTGCAAGCACCCCCTTTCCAACGCCTGGGCACACAGACAAGGGCACTCAAAACGTCAATAGTGCTCGTGAGCAATGCTTTTTTTGAGGTCAATTTCCGGGGCAGCGGCCCAGGGGCCAGGCCTGATGACACCATCAGACCTGGGAAAACTAAGGGCAGGTTTCCAGCAGTCTGTTTTGCACGTGCATTGGCTGAATTCGCTCGTGGGCATCGACTGTGGGTCATCTGATCTGCGTTATCAACCGCCTCTAGAGCCCGCGGAGCCACTTCCAAGTGCCCAGAAACGGAGCGCTGCATCAGGGCACTTCACAGGCACGGAGGCGCTCAACACGAACAGGGTGGCTAACACAGGCGCAGCGCCCAGTCCTCCGGGGAAGGACCCTGCTGGCACCAGCGACGGCAGTGGGAGCAGGCGCGCGCTCCCGGACTCCTCCCAGGCCCCGGCGAAGGGCGCGCCCCAGGGGCGGGGCGCGGGTGACGCCACGCCCCCAGTAGGCGGGGAGGGTAACGCCAGCCCGTCGATGGGCGGGGCGGGTGGACGCTACCACCACTGGCGCTCCCCCCACCCGGCGCGGCCGGGGCCTGGCCGAAGTCGGCCGCCGACTCACCTTCCCATCCTCGTTGAAAGGGAGGCTGAGCTCGTCCGGGGAGGGCGCAAGGCGAGCAGAGCCCGTCTCCTCCGTCGCCGCGGTGGAGGCCGCGGCCTCGTAGTCCGGGAAGGGGTTGGGGAACGCGCGCTCCTCCATCTCAGCCTCCCCGCTCAGGTGCAACTTGAGTCTCTTCGACATGGTCTCGCCCATCGCCGCCGCGCGCTTTCCCCAGCGCCGGGGCCGCGCGGTACGGCGCGCGCGCGGGGACAAACCTCCTGCGCGGCGTTTCCCCTGGAGGGACGCTCCGGGACCCCGCGCGGCGGGCCGGGGTCTCCCTTTAGACGAGCCGCGAGCTGGGAGGGCGAGCGGGGCCTTGGGGCGCGCAGGAGCCTCTCCGCGGGGCCTGCGGGACCGCGGGCGGCGGGCACATCTGGGCGCAGCTGGTGCGCTCCACGTGGTGCCCGCCCGGCCGGACGCCGCCCGGGCAGCCGGGCCCGCGGGGAGCCCTCGGCGGCTCGGAGCCGGGTCTCGGCCGACCGCCCGGTCCCTCCGCCGCCCGCCTCGGCCTGCTCTGGGCGACGTGCTCGGCAGGCCGGAGCCCGGGTCCTGAAGCGCCTCCTGCGGCCGAGCCCCTTCCACGATTCTCTAGGGAAAACCGGGCGACCGTGCGGGGCAGGTTCCCGCTGGAAACCTGGAGCGAGAATTCGCTGTCATTCAAGGTGTCTGCGGTCCCCAGACGCGCCGTCATCCACCTGCATTCTCTCCAGCCGGGCGGGGCCGCCGCCGCCCTCGGCCCCCCGAAGCGCCGGGGCACAACCGCAGCTCTTTGTTTGATAATAAGGGCGGAGAAAGAAAAAACAAACCCTCCTCTAAAAAAAATTGCAAAATAGCCCCAAACACTGCGAAGATTGTGTAGAGCCTCCCGGGGGCAGCGGAGCGCTCCCTCCTATTCATCACAGTTGGGAGGGGGTGTCGAGGGGGAGGAGCCACCGGCCTCTTTTTTTTTTTTTTTTTTGGTCCTATGTTCTATTTTCATGAAGTCCCTTTGTTTTGAATAAACGGATATATTTGATTACAAGACAGAATTGGAAAGCACACTTAATCACCCAAATATTTAGTTGGCCGAAAGATTCCTCCAGTATTAATTCACGTGCCCAGGAGCAGCACACCGTGTGTAATAAGAGGACACGGAGAAATGTCTGCTTTTATGTAAATACAACATGGCTAATTTAACAGTCTTCACTGGTGCTCTTTGTTCTTGCTTCGTTCATTGTTTGAAGCCAAATCGATGCAATGATTTCTCCTCCTTGAGGAAAAAAATCTTATTTTACGGGTTTTCCTCCCATTTCATCACTGACTGAATGCCAGATGGTACTAGGCGATGACAAAATAGAGATTCAAAAGACCGTTTCTGCCCTCAGATTCCGAGGCAGTGGGTGAGCAAGGTACGGATGACAGCACAGTGTGGGACGGATGCTCTTCCGGAGCCGAGCAACGGATACATTGGAATGACAAACAGCCCGAGCCCGGGGGGAGCATCCATCCCGTTCTCTGAGGCCTGGCTGCCCACTCCTGCCGCGCTCTCAGCGCCTGGCCCACTGCCCAGGGCTGAGCAGGGCAGACACCGCTCCTGACCCTGGGGAATGACCTCGTAGGGGAAGATCGTTTTGTAGGGGTCACCTGGCATAATATATTCCGAATTACAACAGGATACCTGCTAAGGAGGCCCCACCTCCCTGCTTCATTCTCTGCTCTGGGGTCCCTCTTTCTCCCACCCTCCGTGAAGCAAATTGCCTCACTGGTTCCAAATTTTCATGCCCTGGATGCTCACTGGCCTTCGGAGTGTTAAACAAAAAACCTTCCCAGCCACAAGGTTTTCTGAAAGAAAGGGTTTGTTGAGCCACATGTTAGCCAGCCAAAGGACCAGGGCTGGGGGTGTGCAGCCCGAACCAGCAGCCGCGGGGCTGGGTGGAGAGGCCACTTATCCACCAGCCTGGAGCTGACAGGGCTCTCGTGTACAATAAGTTTGGGGAAGAAAGATACTAAGTTTTTAAAAAAGAATTTACATTGGCTAGAGATTAGAGATGGCGGCGGGGCGGGGTGGTTGGCGGGAAAGGGTCAAGGAAGAAATCAATAGGCAAATAAAACACACTTTGAGACAAATGAACATGGAAATACAACCCTGACTGTTGTGGCTCAGTTGGTTGGAGCATTGTCCTGTAAACTGAAAGGTCACAGGTTCGATTCCCAGTCAGGGCACATGCCTAGGTTGCCCGTTTGGTCTCTGGTCCTGGTTGGGGCCCATGGGAGAGACAACCAGTGGGTGTTTCTCTCTCATGTTGATGTTTCTCTCCCTTTCACTCTCGCTCCTTTCCCCTCACTCTAAAGATCAATAATCCTGTCCTCTGGTGAAGATGAGAGAGAGAGAGAGAGAGAGAGAGAGAGGGAGAGAGAAAGAAAGAAAGGAAGGAAGGAAGGAAGGAAGGAAGGAAGAAAAAGAAAGAAGAAAGAAAGAAAAGAAATGCAACCAAGAGTTCTTAGAGGGAAGCGGAGAGTGATAAATGCCTCTCACGAGATCTCAGAAATGATCAACCTAAGGTTACACTGCAGGACACTAGAAACACGAGAACACAGAAAGCCAGAGTCAGTGGATGCAGGGAACAGCAGAGGTCCCGGCCTGCGTGTTGCCCACGTCTAGTGAGTCTGGGAAGTGCCACTCTCTCTCGCTGTTCCCGAGAGGCCAGAGAAGCCAGAGGCTGTAAGCACGGGAGGGCTCGGATGAACCGCGGGGCCCCGAGCCTCTCGCTGGCCCAGACCTTCAGACTGGGCCCCTGGGGGCCCGCTGGTGTTTGTGCCCGAGCGGGGACTGGGGCTGAGCTAGGACTTCCAAGCACCAGTGGGTTCTCCACGAGAAAGAGATACCCTCCTGGTAGAGGCGAGGAGCGGGGGGCCAAGCCGGAGACCGTGGAAAAGACAGAAATGCTCGGGGATCCCGTGTGCAGGGGCTGGTCCGTTCTGGGCTCAGGCCCTGGGGGGTGCTCTGCCTCGAGAGCATTCACAAGCAGTCATAAAAAGTTCATGTGCTTTTCGTTGTCGCTGTTTGCCAGAAATTCCACGTGACGTCCGAGATAAGAGACTCCTCCCCCTACACGCAGCTCTGTGGAGAGGCAGCCTTGTGGCGTGGGGTTAGCCTCGATGGGGAGGGAAGAGCGAGGGGGGAAAGAGGCGGGGTCACAGGATCACCAGAACACTTGTGTGGTCATTTAACTGCATGTCTTCCCCGGGGCCCAGGCACCGTGAGGGCGGGTGCTGTGTTAGTGCCGATGATTACCGTGGCCTCGCACTGGGCCGGGCACATAGTAGGCATTCAAAATATTTCATGAATGAGTGGATGAGTGAGTGAGTGAGGGAATGAAGGAGAAGTCCCATCTGGAAGGGACTTTGGAGAATGAGGTTCAGCGGACTTATTTGTGCGTGACTTTTCCATCTTTAAAAGGACTTGGACATTCATGTTCTCGTTCGATCGAACAGGAGAGGTCGCCAATATCTGAAGGACTCCGGCGGTGACGGTGCCATTCGGAGCGGCACCGGGAGGTGCCCCCAGGCACTGGGGTGGCTGATGTCCGAGCCGGGACTGGAGAGCAGTCTTCCGACTCGCTCCGTCTCGCCCGGCTTCCTGCTTTCCCAGGTGAGGACTCTGGGGCCCACGGAGGTGAAATGATCCCCATGGGGCTGTTCCTGTGTGCTCACAGGAACACAAAATCGCAGGGAAGGCCTGTCCGGGGAAAACAGCCGTATTTCCCTCCGTGATCGTCCTGCGGTTTGTCCACTCCGGTCCCCGGCAGATGCCGCAGCGGCTGTGGCAACACGCCCCCCCCCCCCCCAAGACATTCTCCTGGAAAAGAGAAGTAAAACCGAACGGAGGGCCTTTGTCTGTGTGACGGCGGAGAGGCCGTGGGTCTTACCGGCTGCCCACAATCTCTTAGGACAGTTCTGCTGCTGCTGCCCAGTGGGAACCACTCCGTGGCCTTGGCAGTCTCTTCCAAACGAGAAGAAATAATCCTGGTTTGAAAAGGCGCATGCTCACGCACACTGGTGTTCGGAACGGAAGCCCAGGGCTGGGAGGACCTGGTGTGAACCTGCCCCTGCCCCGCGTTCCCCAGAACCGGGAATGGGAGCGGGGAAGGCTGAGGGGTCCACCGGCGTGTGAGTGGGCCGTGGGGTGGAGGGGGCAGGGACGCCCAGGGCCTCGGAGCCGCCTCCCGTGTTTTAGCCCCATGGCACGGACAAACCCATCACTGCCCGATTTCCCCTGCGTGTGGGCGCTGGGCACGGCTCAGAGCCGAGGTGACAGAGCAGGAGAGACAGGGCCATCAGGCGTCCTTAGCAGGCGCTCTAGTTGTTTGCAGCTGGAACATTAAAACAACAACAACCACAAAATTATCTGTCTGAATGAAGTCATCTCACGAAAAGGGGTTCCGGAGTGCTGGGAATGACGGCTCTGGAAGCGCAGAAGCTCATGGGAAATCGTGTTCGGTGGGGCTATTCACTCCGATTCTGCAGCGGCAGGAGGAAAAAATAACGGCAGGCTTTAGAAAGATGACGTATTGCTCGGCCTTGACCACTTCACCTGCGTGCAGACACCACAGATGTCTCTGCCTCTCGGATAGCCTCTCCCGTGTGCAGTATTTTCAACCGGAATAGACTTTACTTCGAACAGCGTGTCGGCCTCACCTTCGGTGGCACACGGTTTGTTGCTCAAAATACCTGCTGCCCCCCAGACACTGGGGCGCGGCAACATCTCATGGAGAAATGCTGCCCACGCGTCGCTTGGTTTGACCCAGGCCTCTCACGGCTACTCCTCAAATGACAGTTCTAGTCCCGGCGTCGGCCGCAACTCTTCGGGGCTCCCGAAGCAGTCGCGTGCTCATTGTCCTGTGTGGTCCTGGGCAAAACCCCTGGCTCTTCAGCCCTGTGGGGGCGGGGACTCGGGACACCGCTGGGACGTGGTGGAAGAAGAGCTGGCATCTGGCTGCGGCCCGGGGCGCATCCGCCACGCACCACACCGGTCTGCGGGACCCCTTGACCGTGGCCCGCACCTGCAGCAAGTCTCCTGTTACAGCACGCAGCCCGCACACCTGCAAGTGAACAAACTGAAGAGGGTGGCAAAGGGGTGGCTCTCTGCCTGCAAGGACGCAGACCGCCGGAAAGACGGCCACATCCTGTCACACACGCTCAAAACTCTCAGCGGGCTCTGTCCCTTTCGTCCCTGGTTTCTCCCCAGTCGCAGGTGAAGTCGCAAGCCAAGAGGAAGTCGGTGGGTTGGGGGTGGGGGGGGGCGGTTATTGCCTCTGCTCCACCTGTGAACGACTCTAGTTTCCAAACCGTGGCAAGACACGCGGGAAGCACCAGGGTCCCTCTGCGCAAACTCTGCATCCCGGAGCTCACCACGGAGGCCCAGGAGGGGGCAGCACTTGTGTGACGCCAGGAAGTCACCCCGAAGAAGAGGTGGGGCTGGAATTCAGCTTCAGGGCCAGCGCGGCCATGGCCGAATCTCCGATTAAAAACTGTCCGAAGGTCGATGCTGTACATACCACAGTCCTCCAGCAGAGGGCACCCTTGACCTGCTGGTGTTTCTAAGAACTTGGGTGTCTGGTCCAGGCATTGTTAAGAGGCCATGAATACGGAATAAAATATAATGCGAGGATCTTGCATCCACACATTGTAAGTATTTGAAGGCGTTGGCTTTATGAAAGAACATGAAACGTCCTGCTGCGCTCCAATGTGGAAACAGATGCACCCGAGACAGGGGACCCTCCTGGAGACACCAGACTAAGACGCGAGTCGGCGCTGGCTGAGCGCAAGGAGGTTCCTGGTTCGCTCCGCCCCGCGTTATTAACCAGGCGCAGAAACGCACCGCCGTTGGTCCCGA